CTTCTGAGCTGACCCCTCTTGCTTTGAATATAATTGCCCTAGCAGATCCCGTTGGAAGCTTTTGTGTGTGTGAATTGAGTGAGATTTTACAGAGCAGAGTATCAGATTTGCATTCAACAAATCATATACTTTGCTTCATTACAATGACTGCAGTCCCCTTATGTACCATCAGTTAACAGTATTTACCTCTGTTCACTTAACTATTGCACTCCTCCATGTCTCCAGCTACCTTCATCTTTCCTCAGCTAACCTCCCTCTTGTTATATATTGTCTGCCTTGTTACCATATGTCTAACTTCTAGCCTGTGAATAATTACCTCCCCCTCCATAACCATCATCGATTGTTTCTTTTATCAAGAAAGTATTTCTTCACATTTTACAATATTGGTCTCATATAATATTTGTCCTTTTGTGATTAATTTCACTCAGTATAATATCCTCCAGGTTCAACCATGTTGTGAGGTGTTTGCAGATTCATCATTATTCTTTAATATAGTGTAGTATTCCATTGTGTGCATGTACCAAAGTTTGTTTAACCATACTTCTGTTGATGGACATTTTGGCTGTCTCCATCTCTTGATATGTTCCTTGTACACAGCATATTGATGAATCTCGTTTTCTTATCCATTCTGCTTTCTCTGTCTCTTGACTGGTGCATTTAATACATTCACATTCAGTGTAACTGTTGTTGTTGTTAAGTGCCTTTGAGTCAGTTCTGACTCATAGCGACCTTGTAATTATTGGGTATGAATTAATTGCTGCCATTTTACTGTGTGTTTTTTTGTAGTGTTGCTGTTTTCTTTGCGCCACAAAATACTCTGTGCTGAGTTCATTTATGGGTTTTCTGCTTCTTGTTGTTGTTTTAGAATAAACACTTTTAATACATATGCTGGGTGGGAGGGAATCTGTTTCGTCCTGAAATCTACTTGACTTCCTTGCCTTTAGAATTTCTGTATCTATACTACTCCCACTTTTTGCTTTGTAGAAAAAAATTACTATAAATTGATGTCTCTGGATCCCTATTTTTTACTTTAGATACTTCTATATCTGGACTGAGTTCTGGGTGGTGTTGTCATGTCTGGTAATCTCAGGTTATTGTCTGTTATTGTTGTTTCTCAGTTCAAAGAATATCCCTTGGCATTTTTTGTGAAGTTGGTCTGGTCATTACAATTCCTTTAGTCTTTGCTTATCTGGAAATGTCCTAATCGTGTTGTAGTATCTGAGGGACAGCTTTGCTGGGTATATGATTCTTGGTTGTCAATGTTTTTCTTTCAGAGTTTTGAATATGTCATCCCATTGCCTTCTTGCCTGCATGGTTTCTGCTGGGAAATCAAGACTTAGTCTTATGGACTTTCCGTTTTAGGTAACTTTGTGTTTTTCCTGAGCTACTCTCAGGATTCTTTCCTAGACTTTGGTTTTTAAAAGTTTGATTGTAGTATGTTCTGGTGATTTTCTTTTAGGATCTATCCTATTTGGGGTTTGTTTAGCTTCTTGTACGCTTATCTTCTTGTATTTTATTATGCTATGAAAATTTTCTTCCAACAACTCTCCTTCAATTTTCTCCATGCTGTTTACTGTCTTTCCGTGTTTTGAAATCCTGATCACCTGTAAGTTGTTTCTCTTCATGGTGTCCCCATAAGTCTTAGGCTTTCTTCACATTTTTCCATTATTTTTTCTGATTATTCTAGCATACTAGTATTGACAGATTTATCTTGAAGT